TTATAGGTTCGTATTTCGTGACTTTCTATAAATAAATTGTATTCAAAAGACCACTTGCGCCTAAGACTCGCGTCAAAGAACATATAGCTGATGTGAAGAATCGACGCTCCGGGAAGTCTGCAGTCTGTGAACATGTACAGGATCGCCCCCGTCACTACATCAGATTTGATAGACCACAAATCCTCGCTAAAGAACACCGATTCCTTCCAAGGATGATTCGCGAGGCTATTGAAATCAAAAAACATCCTAATTTCAATAGAGAAGATGGCTGGGTGCTACCATCTGCTTGGGATCCTATAATAAATAAAATTAAATCCCAACCCAAGCATACAACTGCAAGACTCCATGATACCATAAGTTCATACTGTGTAGATCGGAACAAAAGTTAAATTTTAATCTATGGTAACCGCGGTTAACTATGACAGCTGGACGTTGAACATCTCAGTCCTTCCCGTGACCATGGGTGCTGTAAAGCTCTCGAAACGTCGGGTAAAAAAGTTAAATATACGCGATAAATTCCGTAAAAATTAGTATTATTCCAATGTGTAGTGTTCGCGTAAATATAAGAGAACATTAGCATCGAAAAGGTTCAAGGAATTCAGCAACACAGCTGCCACACTTTGATTCAGACAATCAACATTTCCGGTGCTTTGCTCACATTTTGAACCTTGGTGTACAAGATTTATCAAAGACCTTAGCATTACACAGTGAAACTGACAATAAGGGACAAGAACAGCAGTATGAAAATAATGAAGTTCGTCTTCATTATTTTCATACTGAGGAAGATGAAGAATATTCGCCAAATATTGCTGACTCACGTACAGCTATAACAAAATTACGCAGTATTTCCATTAAAATAAAAAGAAGTGAGATATTGAAGAGGAAGTTTCAGTCTGCTTGTGAAGCAGCTGGCGTGCCATCAAATCTGAACCCCATACTCGACTGTCCAACGAGATGGAATTCCACACATGATGTGATTGGATTTGGTTTAAAAGTGAGAACTGGCATTAATATATTGTGCACTTCTGTCACCGAATTGAATGATTTTCAAATCACAGATAGTGAATGGCAAATACTCGAAAAAATACATAAGTTTCTAATAAACTTTAAACTTCTATCAACGAAACTTGGTGGAAAAAAATATGTTTTAATATGCTCGATAAAATTGAATCCATGGTAAAACAATTAGATGAGAAACCTAATCGATCCGAAGTGGATGAAAGGCTCATTCTGGGTTTTCAAGCAGCTCGAGACAAAATGCTTAAACATTATAAAAAGATTATCAACTGGATTTATTGTATCTCTTTAATTTTAGACCCAAGGCATAAGACACAGACTTTTGACATGACATTATGGGGGAAGCAAATTAAAACAGAAAACCTGCGCAAATTTAATGAACTTTATAAAGAATATAAAAGTCTACACTCAGTGAATACATCTCTAGAATCACCAAGAAATGAAAAGAAAGTATGTGAATATGATGAAGATGAATACGTAATAGACTTTGAGAAATTGTATGCACGTCCCTCGACGTTATCTGGATCTGGATCTTTTTATCAAGGCTTAGTTATAGACGAGTTGGAGGAGTACCTAAGTAAACACAGAGCCGCCAGTTCGGAAGACATTTTAGAGTGGTGGAGGACGCATGAGACAGAATATCCGACTTTATCGAAGATAGCCCGTGATTTTCTTTCAATACCTGCAACTTCAGTACCTGCTGAGAGATTATTTTCTAAAGCATCATTAGTAATAAGAAAACATAGAAATAGGTTAAGTGATGAGTCAGCCAGATGGTTCCTTTTTTATTAATTCTTGGTCAAAAGAATTAATATAAAGTAACAGTAATGTCAAAGCTCTTGTATACTGTTATGTAATTTAATTTGTATTGTATTTTATTTTTTTATTTAAATATATGGTAAATTGTATAACTCTTTTATTCCATTTCATATAAAGGTCTATCAATCTCTTTCTAGACAGATAATGTTCTTTATAATACAGTCAAGTGAATGTCATTAATTTGTTTTTTATATGTTTTGACTAAGTTTTAGCACATGTAAGCTTATTAAATGTAAAGGTTTATTAAGAAACAGACTAACTCCCGTGGCCGTGAGACTTGGTAGACAGCTCAGTTGGTTAGAGCATCGGCACGGATCGCTTAGGAAGTGGGTTCAAACCCCACCCGGTATTAGTTGATTTTTCGATTTTCTCATTAAATGTTTAGACATTTATTAATTTGGTTGGTCTTTCTATGGCTATGTTAATTCAAGCTCAAAATGTGCCTACTATGTTAAGTTGTTCTAAGATCTAAAGTAACGTTTAATAAATAACAGTAGGCTAATAGGTAATTGCGAGACTCTTGCTGCAAGACCAAGACTAAGAACAAGACTCAGAGCGCAATACCAAGACCAAGAACAAGACCAGGTGTATTGACTGGCTAAGTCTCGTCTTGTTCTTGCATTTGGTATATTAAATCGCCGAACAAGTACTATAAATGCAAACGGTTTTTAATTGCTGTTCGCATATAATAAATTAAACGAATATTAGGAATATGGATTCATTGCGGAACGAGCCATGAAAGATAGGTACATGTCTCAAATCGCTCGGCTTTCAAATTATTAGGAGTGAATTAACAAAGTCTGAAGGAATGACATTGCACTTCTTTACAATATTTCTCTGAAAATTCGAAGATAAAATGTTGGTAAAATTTCACGTGCGCTATCGAAGATGAGAACTTTTCTGGTCTATTGACAACTGGGACAACTTTTAAATTTAATTAGTTTTAATCGTAGAATACTATAATACAGACATAATAGAACTGGGGAGTGGGCGGAGCCCGTGTAGCTACCGTAAAACGTGGCAAGTTTGCCCAAGCAGTGTAACTTTGCCCATTAGGGCATTTTTCAACAAAACGAAAAAATATCTATAATATTTAGTTAGTTAGCAGTTATTTAATCTGTGGTACAAAATTCAACTTATTCCTGGCAACACTAACACTCGAACTGTCATTTACTTGACTTTAGTGACTTGTCAGTCGTTGTCAAAGTTGGTGGTGTTTTCGGCGGGCGAAATTCTGTGTGAAAACTTCAATAAAAAGTCGAAGTTGCAGTTGCAGCAGGTAAGTAGTGTTTTAAATATTGTAAATATATTAAAAATAAATACGAAAGATGGTTAATAAACGGCGAAATGTTTCTGCAAATGATAAATATGGCGGTGGGCAAAGTTACCTTAGCGTTGCACTACACCTCTTGGCAACTTTGCCCACCAAAATCCTAACATCAGGGTTGTCAATTTTGTGTTTCTGCATTTTTTTTTTAAGTTTACGTAATTATTATATTTGTATATTAATACATTAATAAACGCGTAATACGTTAAACTTTGATATTTTATTTTTACGTTGTTGTATTTAGGCACTAATGTTACGCACAAAAAAAAAGTATGTACAGAAGGTCACAGAATAGGGGATTTTCTATAAATATTTATTATAAATAAATGATATTTGCGATGACAATGTGACATCACTTTCACACAAAAAAGCATGTTTATGCTTTTTTTATTATTATTTGAAATTCAAAACCACGATATCGATTTTTTTCGAGCATATAATAAAAAAATACCTTTTTTGTAGAAAAAAGTTGTCATCGCAAAGAGGCGATGTAAGTAAACAACAATAGAAGTTTTTTTTCTGCTCTCCCAGATCAATTAGTATTTTCTACAATTAAATATTTTAACGACACCAATACTTACCTAAGTAACCATTTTACTAAGATTTTTTTTGAACTAAGCTACCTACCAGAAAATCCCCTATAAAAAGTTATACATATTATAATCTGCTTACATAACTTAGTAACTTTATAATTCGTATATTTATATGCTGAAACACTGAATGACATGTCGTTATATACAACTTGTTAATGAATAAGCGCACAACCTTTTATGTGATGATTGTGATCATGATATGAACAACTTTTACTATGGACCGACTCTGCAACTAAAAAAAAAATCAACTGTTTCGTACAAATTGTCAATACATAGGTACTAGACCAGAATGTATGAAATAGCAGATTTTTTTATAGAGGACGTGCACTTATTCCTTAACACGTTTTGTATGTGTTTCCATTTTTCCTATGTCTTTGTGAAAGTTTATTTCATGAGTGTAAAAGTTAGATAAAGCACCATAATATTTTTTGTTTTCAGAATGAACATGGAGAGTCGATCGCGAAAGAAAAGAAATAGAAGAAAACTGGGATCTCGATGATACAGAGATTATTCGACGGAGATGTTAGAAGTTGCCGTTGAAATGTTAGAAAAAAATTAATTTCCAGTAGGGATGCCGAAAAGCAGTTCGGCATTCCACGTCGAACTTTATTAAATAAAATGAAAAAGGTGCATATGAACTCCACGGGGAGAAAAAAAAATTAACGGACGAAGAGGAGGAAAAGTTAGTCGGCTAATTGCTGCCGCAAACTTTGGTAGTCCAATGACTATGGTTTAAAGTTACTAGTCCATAAATATTTACAAAGTTTCTATCCTATCCAGAGCTATTAATACTCTAAGAGTTGCATATCAATTATGTTTACGGTATGTGCAGATGGGACCTGTCTTCCAACTTATGTTGTCTACAAAGCCACAAATTTATATTCTGAATGGGTGGAGGGAGGCCCTTGTGGGACACGATATAATTGCACCAAATCTGGTTGGTTCGATTCTGATGCCTTCGAGGATTATTTTAAAACAATAATAGTTCAATGGGCGAAGAAAATATCAGGCCCAAAAGTCGTCATTGGCGACAATTTGTCGAGCCACATAAATATTGAAGTCGTGGAGTTGTGTCAACAACATGATATCCGATTGGTATTTTTAGCACCAAATTCCACTCATCTGACCCAACCTCTGGATGCTTCGTTTTTTGTCCACTGAAAAGGGAGTGGAGAAGAATTCTACTTGAATACAAAGTCAAGAATCCTGGTCAGACTACACTCAATAAAAAACATTTTCCTAAATTGCTAGCGGAACTAATTGAAAACATAAAGCTGAGGGAAACAAAAAATATTAAAAGCGGCTTCAGAGCCACAGGTATTTGGCCTCTCAATCCAATCAATGTTACTAAGAGAATACCAGAACTACATGACGAAGTGAAATATGGAATAGACAATGCTTTACTAGAGTATTTGAAAGAAACAAGATCCCAAAATCCAATGACAGTGAAAAGAAGCAAAAAATTGAAAACAGAACCAGGAAAGTCAGTCTATGTGGAAGATATTTCTATAAAAGCCAATAATACAAAGAAAACAAATGCGACAAATAAGAATAAAAAACATATTAATACGGAAGAAGACATTGTGATACCGATGTTGAATGAAAACACAGAAGAAAAGATAGAGACAAACGAAGAAATAGAGACGTATATATTACATGAAGTAACAGGGCAAATAGTAAAAAAAAAATCCCAAAAAATCACGTGTAAGTCTTGTAAGTTCCGCAGTTACACAAATTACACAAAATGATTCTCCATCGACATCAACTGAAAATGACAGTAGAAATGAATTGGTAGTGCCATTGTCGTTATCATATAATCCAAATAGTCTAAAAGCAATTTGTATTGATATGATCAATAATTACATACATTCATTAGTCCAAGATATTGGTTCGGAATCGCCAGATCTATGCATTTTTGGTGAAAATTTGAGAAGTCGCGAAGAAAATTTATCGTTTATAGCACATGATGAAAAAAATTTGCCTGTTTGTTTACAAACACAAAATCTACTTTCGAAAAATTCTCCAAGTGGGGTAAAATTGACTGCAAACAGTTCTCCTAAAAAATTAGTTATAACCTCCGATGTAAAAGTGACTTCAACTGCTAAGATAACCTCAACTAGGAAGAAAGAACATATCAAGAAAAAAAAATGTGGGTGCTGAAACAATTCGAGACTCTGCACTACATATGAAGTTATATCCTAAGCCAAAAAAAAACAAATGCCAAATAAGACAATATTCTAAAAGAAATAGAAATAACGTTCAACCAAAAACATCAAACAAAATACAAAACAGAAAACGTAAATCTAAGAAAAAGAAGAGAAAGTTAGATAGATATGTAGTAGAATTAAGCTCTGAAAACTCAAGACATCATGAGCGTAGTAGATACGGAAAATTCTGAAAACGAATCCATGGAAGATTTTATTAAAAAATATTTACTAGAGGAAGATTACAAAGAAGAATTCAATGAAGATTACACGGAAGATGTTTTGTTTTTTACAGGCAATCCGAGTAACATAAAAAAAGATGACTGGATATTGGCAAAATTTTGCCAAAAAAAAAAGTTTAAAACATTACGTTGGACAAGTCATAAGCGTTAAAAATGAAATCCCTACAGTGAAATTCTTAAGAAAAATAAAAAATGCCAAAGGCAAGAAATTAGCGTTCACGTACCCAAATGTAGAAGACACTTGTGAAATGATGCGCTTAAATGACATAATTCTAGTATTGCCTTAACCAAATATTTCGCGGAGGGGTCAGATAATATTTGATATAAATTTAAGTGAATATAATGTGCAATAATTAAAAGTACATTTTATTGATCTTTATTTATATAATTAAGCTTTTATTTTTTCGTTATCTTGATGTAGTAAAACAATGCGTTTTGTTGGCTATATTGATAGCTGTTTCTAATTTTGGACGGTTTTGGATTACTTACAGTTCAGGTAGCCAACTGAGTACTTATGTCATAAGATGATAGTTAATTGCTAAAGGCAGATGTTACAATGATTTCATGTCAAACTTGGTTGTCCATCAAAGCTGTTAGACTTACAAAATAGGTCAGTTGACTTTTATTAAACGATGATCTCATAAAAATACTTTTGTTCCTGAGTACATTCCTAAGTTTTTTTAATTTAAATAGGTAACTTATTGTTTATATGGCTTGTCTTTTTTCTATTGTGTTTATTGAAGTTTTTGTTTGATATTTTTTGTTATTAAATTATTTACTACTTCTACCACATGAGTAACTAGGTTCACGCATTGATAACACGAGTAAATCTCTGAGAGTATCAGACGTAGGTAATAATTTTATTCTTTTTTTATAATCCGATGATATCCCGGACGTCAGTCTAAGCGAGATTAGAATGGCTCTCCAGCACCTTAAAAACGGCAGGGCCCCAGGCGAGGATGGAATTACAGCGGAGCTTCTGAAAGCGGGTGGAACACCGGTACTTGAAGTCCTTCAGAAGCTCTTCAATTCCGTCCTCCATGGTGGCACTACTCCAGAGGCGTGGAGCAGAAGTGCGGTGGTCTTGTTCTTTAAGAAAGGCGACAACGCTCTCTTAAAGAACTACAGACCGATTTCCCTTCTGAGCCGCGTCTACGTGCTGTTTTCGAGAGTCATTACGAATCGTCTCGCACGCAGACTTGACGACTTCCAGCCTCCCGAACAAGCCGGTTTCCGAAAAGGCTTCAGTACCATAGACCACATACATACCCTGCGGCAGATTGTACAGAAGATTGAAGAGTACAATCTGCCACTTTGCCTGGCGTATGTGGACTATGAGAAAGCCTTTGATTCCGTCGAAATTTGGGCGGTGTTACAGTCCCTTCAGCGGTGCCAAGTTGACTGTCGGTATATCGAAGTGCTGAAGTGTTTGTACAGTAGGGCTACGATGGCTATCCGAGTACAGAACCAGAGCTCGAAACCTATCCAACTGCAGAGAGGTGTAAGACAGGGTGACGTTATATCCCCGAAACTCTTCACCGCTGCATTGGAAGACGTTTTCAAGCTACTGGACTGGAAAGGATACGGTATTGACATCAATGGCGAGTACATCACTCACCTTCGATTTGCCGACGATATAGTCCTTATGGCAGAATCGCTGGAGGACTTAAGCACTATGCTCAATGACCTCAATAGTGCCTCCCAACGGATAGGTCTTAAGATGAACATGGACAAAACAAAGATCATGTTCAATGTCCATGTCACACCTATGCCGGTAGTTGTTGGGAGCACTATGCTCGAAGTTGTTGACGAATACGTTTACCTGGGACAAATAGTCCGACTAGGTAAGGCCAACTTCGACCGAGAGGTCAATCGACGGATTCAACTCGGCTGGGCAGCGTTCGGGAAATTACGGCATATCTTTTCGTCAGGTATACCTCAATCTCTAAAAACTAGATTGTACAACCAGTGCGTGTTGCCAGTGATGACTTACGGATCTGAGACGTGGTCCTTCACTGCTGGCCGTATGAGGACGCTTAAGGTCGCTCAGCGAGCTATGGAGAGGGCTATGCTCGGAGTTTCTCTGCGTGATAGACTCAGAAATGAGGATATCCGCAGTAAAACCAGAGTGACCGACATAGCCCAACGGATTAGTAAGCTGAAGTGGCAATGGGCCGGCCATATAGCTCGAAGAACCGATAACCGATGGGGAAGAAAGGTTCTCGAGTGGCAGCCTCGTACCGGTAGGCGTAGTGTAGGGCGACCCCCCACTAGATGGAGTGACGACCTGGTAAGACATGCAGGAAGTCGATGGATGCAGGTGGCTCAGGACCGTGCTTTGTGGCATTACTTGGGGGAGGCCTATGTTCAGCAGTGGACTTGTGAAGGGCTGTAATGATGATGAATGATTTTTTATAATCTTTTGCGTTTATTTGTTGATCTCAAGATTACATTATTTTTAAGATGCTAATCTCAATAACATTTTTATTTCTTTTGTATAAGTTTGATTTTAAGTTAAGATTCATTATTAAGTACCTTTTTGTTGTAGCTTTCTCAAAGCCAATGTCGATTAATTTATTTCAATTCATAGTTGATTATATGATGCAACTCATATGAATCAGATTTAACTACGTGTCAAGTCTTTTGTTTGATTAAATACCTATATAAAAATAAAACTGTTTCAATTACTCGTCATTACTCTAATCATTCCTCAAAACTACCTAACAGTTTGGTGCCTTAGCACTTCTCGCTTTCTTCTGATGATGAGACTATATGATTACTATTTCTGTATGTTAACTACCATTAAATAATTGATAAGTAGTTTGTTTTTATTTACTTGGTACCCTGGGGCATTACTTGGGGAGGGTTCAGCGTGGACTGTGAAGCTGAATGTGTGTGAAGAGTATAAAACGGCTATTTGTGCAATACAATGTCTTAAATAGTGACAACCCTAGTGCATACTTTCGTTTGTATGGTGAATGTTAAAAAAGGCTTGGCAACTTTGCCCACTCCATTTTTGTGGACGTTAAATACGTGTAGTGGTTTCTTATATGATACAGTGCAACATTGCACCGTTTTTTTTATCATACTTCTTAAACCACTTAATATAAAGATCAAAATATCGAAGCTACTGTGTTACCATGTCAAGTGGGCAAACATGGCCATTTTTTAAACATTTGGCCCACGTTCTAAATTAACTTTTTTTGCAAGTATAACCATTTTTTAATATAGTAATTTTCAAATTTAAGTAAACCTAGAAACATTTTCGACTACTTATTGCAAGTATTTTATTAAACATGTTTAGATAATTTTAAATTAAATTAGAGTAACGCATAAAAAGCGGGCAAAGTTGCCAGGTTTTACGGTACTAAAATGTCACTTATGTGTCAAATGTCAATACATGTCAATTCACTCGTATAAATGTCAACACGAGATGTGTTTTGACTTTACAATCGTTTCCAAATTTCGCATGAAAATTACTTAGAAAATACCAAATTGCACCCTATTTACAAATAAATATGTATTAAAATTTAAACGATTTATCAAGGATGATCTTGAACATTAATCAAAAGTCTAAAATGTGTGAATTTATTCAGTCTCTCAACACAGCGAATCGGGTTTGGCGACGCCAATCCACGTACAAAATAAGGTTGACGGCGATTCTATTGTGTATTATAGTATTCTATGTAATAAACTTTATTGCCTTTACCTACGTAAATATAAACACACCATCACAAGTACTTTTATTCCCTCTTCACAATAGGTACCTATCTTAGTGCTAAATATTGGAGATTTTTTATCCCTTTACGATCTTAGTGCTAAATATTGGAGAAGTGTCACACTGGTACTTATATGAGACGTATGTAGGTATAAAAACCTGTATTACAGGTTAGGTTATAAGTTTCTTTTTAAAAAGAAAAACGTGCCTCAACGAACTCAAAATTCCATCAGAGTGAGTAACCAGACCTCTTACAGGTTTCACTTCTAAGGTGCCTCTTCCCTAAGGGTCTAGTGTAGTAGTTATATGGTTCGAATCCTGGTTCGATTTAAAATCAGTTAACGGGTTTTTCTGTCACGAAATTCAGTAGAGGCAAATTCAGAAGAGTCAGGAAGTTGGCGTGGTTTCACGTAAATTCGTTGATCTTGCGCGTCATCTTCTCGCCGGTCGTGTCGGAATCCCGTCCTATCGGACAGTGAGAGTGAGGGAATAAAGAGTGCACGTGTGAATTACAAATAATTAGTAGACTTTGATTCTGTCCTGCGAATGTTGGCTAGTCTCCGTTGGGACGGGCCGTCGTGACCAAAAGTGTGTCGTCGAGATTGAGTTTCATCATGGAACAGAAAAAAGTATTTGAGACCAAAAGAAAAAAGAAAATAATAAACAAATATTGTTTATTTGTGATTAATTAAAATGAAATTTTATATGAAATTATTTATCAATATTAATTTTATGTTTGTTATGTGTTTATGTTATGTTATTTTAATATTGGACACACAAACTATAATACAAAAACATTAAAGTACAAAATTCTCAAAATCATTTTACAATCCTATTTTGACTCAATGTATTTCTTAACACTAAACAGTAGTACTTAATCGCTAAACAGTATATAAGCAGTCTTCCAAATAGAACAAATTATTATAATAACTGAATAGTTCGATGTAAGTCAATTCAAGTTTAATAGTAAATACATATTACATAGAACCATTACTAAAACTTTTAAAGCTCCTATTCTTGCAAAGACAGGGCCTATTAAAAATTTGAATTTTGAACGAAGGAACACATTCGTCATAACGGTTGAGGCTACAAAATACAATATTAGGTATATTCGTTACACTTCATATATTATAGTTCTTTGCATTATATTTTCAATGAAGAAATTTTATAGCATTTTTATATATCTTGAATTTTATGCAAACACGGTTAAAAGACAAGATTTTCATTTTTGGAATTCGATTATACCAATATATTTTACATCATCCAAGAGCTCCAGCCGCATCCAGGATAAAGATCTTGAGCAAACACTGTCGGTACTTAGTGTTGCTTCAATTAACTGATTGGAACACTCATCAGTACTATTTATAGTCAGTGTCAAATATAAGAGTCTAATACATAAGCATAAATATAAGTACTTTATATTGAAATAATATAAAACTACCTATATTATTATACATCCGTTTTGATTAATTTCGTTTGACTGTAATTTGCCACTGTTTCCCTGGGACGCTACTCAAAATAAGGAAAAATAATATAACTTTAATTGATTAATGGAACCTCTCACTAATTAATCTTATAAATGTATACCCGTAGCTATTACGTATTTAATAAAAATGTCCCATTTGTGACGGAAATTTCTGAACAGTGTTGTTTTTCCGCTGTCGTCCAACGCGCTATATCTTATAGAATTAATTGCTAGCTGCTTAAGTAAACGAAGGTCGGCACGTTTGCTCGCAATACCAACAAAGGCAACGTAAAAGTCGTGAGACAATGGGTCCGCACCCCAAGCGCCTGGGTCATCACTTGACAACACAACTGGCAAACCAAGAGCTAGGTATGTAGCCAACGGATGGTTCCTCACATCATGTACCAAAGCTAGCACGATATTTGATACCACATTCACTTCTAACGCAATATCCCTCTGCTTTACCAGGAACATTAAAGAGGGATGTTTGACGAGCGCATACGCATGACCGATCCGCTTCGATCCTAAGAGAACAGCATCGAAAAGGTTCTCGTCGGTAGCCATCCCGTACCAGTTACTCTCTCCTCCGTGGAAGTAGTATTGTAAGTCACTTTTCGCCTCAGCTAACACTGGAAACATGTCAGCTAAAGGTCTTCCCAAGTCCTCTTGCCCTATTAAGTCGAAACCAGCGAAAAAATCAGGCATTTCGCGCTTGATCTGACGCGCCATATTAATAGTCTTTCGCACTTCCTCATCCGTTTGCACCCGATGCCTCGTCACAATTAACTTAACACCAACAAAATCTGGATGTGTCTCCTTAAAACTCTTTGCCACTTGCCGATATAACTTTGGCATGAACAATTTCTCGTGAACTGTACCATTTAACTCGTATAAACTCTGCAAGCCGCTTCTAATTTCTATGTACAATATATTATCATTGTAAAATTCATCTAACGCTTCATAGAAGAACTTCTCTCTCACTGGTCTATATGCAATTAGTTCTGCGATGGTTCTTGTGACCTTTTCAAACTTTGTCCAAATCGAGTTAATATCATTTGATTTATCGCATCCGTGTTCAGAATGGAGGGTGAAATGGTTTTTTAATGTAGAGTCAAATTCTGTTGTATTACTGGATGTATTTCTGAGCTCACTAAGTAGTGTCCAGTTGACGGAACAAGGCCGTTGGGGAGTGACGTCCGAGAATTGTAATTTTAAATCTCCGTCGGTGTAACAAGCGTACAAGTGGTCCTCGTATGTCAGATCCAAAATGCGTTCTGCACTAAGCATCAACGAGCTATGTAGATGTAGTACTGCGCCTTTAGGCATTCGTTTTATAATACGATAAACTTTAGATTTCTCAATTTCATTTCTAAACGTGAAATAGTTTTTCGAGAAATTGAAATATTGTGGATTGCGAAATGACTCGTCAACTTCCTTGTGTTTCCAGTGCATTAGAATTTCGTTTGCCTGCGTTTCTTCTTCAGTCAAACGTATTCCACTTCCCAGTTGCATCTCGAGTTCACTTTCAATCAAGTTCATTCGGTCTTCATTATAACTGTTTAAGATCGTTTTTGCTGATAAAAAAATGAATGTCATATAAAAAACACTGATTTTAAAAAATAAACTCATTGTGATTTATTCGGCCACTATCGTGATACGTTGACTGTTGCATTCGGACAAGCCTCGGCTATACTGATCGTTATATACGTTGTCCATGAATATACATAGCTTGCTTTTATAGTTATACATTTCACCAGTGGATGGCTTATTCTTATTACATTTTTCAATTATGTTACTCCGATCATAAAGAAAAAACTAGATAACTACTTTCCTTATACATCACATGCTAATAATGTAAAACATAATATGTTAACATGTTGTTTTTGTTATAAAACTTTTATGGAAGAATAAGAGAATGTCATACCATCGTAAATTAACTATTTGCATTATCGATGCATAATTTCTAGAATTACGGAATTGTTTACAAGTATATAAATTTAATATTCTGTTTTCCTCAAACTAAGCGATTACGGACGTATGTAGCGGGTAGGGCTTGCAGTATTTGTTCAATTTTACTATTCGAATATTTAGAATAGCTCCCGACATACTAGTCGAATTATTCGAATATTACGAATTTTTCGAATGCTTTCTTTCATTTTTCCGATCTACACAGTATGAACTTATGAACAAAACTTTTGTTCATAAGTTCATACTGTGTAGATCGGAACAAAAGTTAAATTTTAATCTATGGTAACCGCGGTTAACTAGTACATCTGGACGTTGAACATCTCAGTCCCGCCCGTGACCATTAGTGCTGTAAAGCGTTCGAAACGTCGGGTATTTAAAAAGTTAAATATACGCGATAAATTGTGTAAAAACTAGTATTATTTCAATGTGTAGTGTTCGCGTAAATATAAGAAATCATTAAGAAGAATTTAATCAACATTTGCCATTTTTTATTCTATGGCATAAATTAAATGAAATAAATTCTCACATCTACTTCTATTAGCAAACCAAAAAATTTGTCTTTTAAAAATTAAGAAATAAAAAAATCTGACTTCAATATAGCTATATAATTTTGAATAAAAGGTAAGCAATGGGTGCGTTTGGCAGAAAAAAGCGCTAGCAAGCGCTTGTAAGCAAAATGGCGATCGTAAGCGGTAAGCGCTGTCAAATCGTAAGTAGCTATTTTCCTCCAGGACACGATGTTAGTTTTAACCGGGGAACCTAACCTAATTTAAATATATGTTTGTGAAGTATTCATATTAAAAACTTACCAATCATGAATTTTTAATAACATGTATATGTTTATTCACGTTATTATATTACTTAAAACTAATATTGCACAAAATAACTTAAAAACTCTACTTCAAAACAAACAAATTAAATAAGCAAAATGGCGGATTGTGTCAGCGCTACTGAAGTAGTATCGTGTCCTGGCCGAAAACTATTTCAGCGCTTGTAAGCGCTTGCTAGCGCTTTTTTCTGCCAAACGCACCCATTATTTAACAATTGAAAAGTAAAGTTTATCAAAAAGTTATTAATCAATACTTGTTGCTTTGATAATATGACCAAAGAAATAAAAGTCAGTCTAGTGTCATCACTCATCATTTAAGGCGCTACGAAGGTAGCTGCATGTAATTTAAATGACCGAAAACACTCTTAGATTCTACACTTGTTGGAGGAATCGCTAACAAAAAATTATATGCCCTCATTAAGGTGAAAGCGCCAGGGTAGCACGCAAAATTCAAATTTTCTTACGTTTTTTGCTATTTCAGATTGTAGTTTAAGTAAATATGATTCGCGACCATAACAAGTATGTGTTCACAGAATTATTATCATTAAAACCACCATAGAGAGGAGAGGGTTGTAAAGGGTTGTCTCTAACTTCATATAACTCCTTTGAATGAGATTTACTGGAAATAGTCATACAATGGAACTATACGAACTAAGAGGGTTGTATTGATGATTATCCATACTAATATTATAAATGCGAAAGTGTGTTTGTTTGTCCTTCATTCACGTCGTAACAGAGCGTCGGCATGGCATTATTTTTTATGGGGATAGTTCGGTGGCTTTAGAGTGACATAGGTTACATTTTTCCGCGGAAAAACATCTCATTCCTGTGAGAAAATCGAATATGCTGCAAAATTTCATTCAGCTAGGTGGCGCCACCGTTATTCTACAAGACGGACGACGGTACGATGGACGAACACAGGTCAGAATATCTGGATTATTATGTCTTTTTACCAAAATTAAGATAATAAACGTATCTGTATTTTTCTACTCAGGACCGGGAAGAGAGCGATAAAAACATAAAATTCACCAGCTGATTTTCTTCAAACGTTTTGGTGCATTGTAATTCACAGAATAGGCGATAACCTCGCAGACGATATTAAGTAATCCGTTGATGCTCAGCCTAACCCGCAAGGGTTACAGGCGTGATTATAAGTATGGATCAGAAATACTATCACCACCTGTCACGCTTTCCCCCCTTAACTTTCACACTTAACTGTGGTAGAAACAGTTCTTAATAAGCCTTAGTAATATTTATTGAACGGAAATGAATACAGTTCTTATATGTGGTTATGAATGAATCGGTATTACAATAAGAAAAATTGTGCAAAATTATAAGAAAAATATTTTTTGAGAGTTCCTATTAACTAACGTATACATAGTTTAAATTGATTCCGCTAGATGTCGTTACTAGGTTTTTAAAACGCGGTAACAAAATGTTTCCTGACATGTACTTAACTCTCGCCGTTGAGCCGTGCGTTAACTTATAGTGCATACGGTACCTATACGCTTAAATTGTTTCTATTTCGTAGCTTATTCGACTACCTGCTTTCGATTTCGGTTGTTTGTTATTTGCTTTGTGATTTGATTAAGGTTGAATGGATTTATATTGGCTTTCATTTTCAGATTTGTGTTTTTTTTGCATCGGTTTTGTTGATTTGGTTGGTATTCCTTTATACATATTTAGACTCTGGCTTCGATTTTGGATTTTGTTTATTTAGAATCGTGAATTGGTTTTCGTTGTTTTAGATTGTTTAACAATATTTCAAAGGAATATTAATAGTATAGATAGTGTATACGGTACCTATACACTTACTTCTTTTTTCGTTGGTTATATTTATATTGACTACTGCTTTCGATTTCGGTTTTCTGCGATTTGGTTTAAGTTGATTCGATTTTTTTTGCTATCGTATTTGGATTCGTGTTTTGTCTTGAATTGGTTTTGTTGTTTTGATTTTAAAAAATATTTAAAAGGAAATTTAATTCCTTTTAGGTATTTTAACGTTTTCTTTATAAATAGGTTTTTTGTTACTTCATAATGCCTTGCAAACGTAAGTCCAGCCTTTCAAGAGTATCTTCTCAAAGACAAGCGAAAAGATTAGCTCGATCGCTAGAATCTTTAGAAGATGATGAACTGAGAAGGCAAGAACAAGCAGAGTGTCAGGCTGCTTTTAGAGCATCTGAGACACCTTCTCAACGTCAGCAAAGGCGTCTTGAATAGACAGAACGTCAGGCTGCTTTAAGAACTTCCGAAACACCTTCTCAAAGTCACGCAAGGCGTCTTGAACAGGCAGAGCGTCAAGCTACTTTAAGAGCTTCTGAAACACCTTCTCAAAGTCAGCGAAGGCGTCTTGAACAGGCAGAGCGTCAAGCTACTTTAAGAGCTACTGAAACATCTTCTCAACGTAGCAAAGGCGTCTTGAACAGACAGAGCGTCATGGCGTATCCACACATGCCGCCGGGTTTTGCCGCTGGCTTTCAGACTGCCTTGCCGCTAAATTTGCCGCTGGCCTTACCGGTGGCCTGCAGATGCGGTTGCAATTTTCGCAGTAGTGTTGTGACTTTCGTCGAAGTTAGTCGTGTACGTAGGATTGGAAGATGTTGGACTATAATATAGTTGCGTGTATCGCAAGATGTTATTATTCATAAAAAAGAACCGCAAAATCAAACGAAGACATTGGGTCAGACCAAGTCTACGAAATAGGCCTAAGGTGTCCCACATACTTGAATATTTTAGAAAGGACGACATAAACCGAAGAAATATTATTAACACTTTTCTAAGGATCTCTAGTGAAGAATTTGAAATATTACTGAATTTAACTGGACCCATGATATCAAAAACTGACACCCGCTGGAGAAATGCTGTGTCAGCTTCCGATCGACTAGCAATTACTTTGAGATACCTGGCTACAGGAGACTCTTATTTTTCACTCGGTACACTGTTTAAAGTGTCTCCACAAGTTATTTCTTTAATAATTCCAGATGTTTGTCAAGCTTTGGTATAGTTAGAAACCGAACGCCTATATTAGAAAACAAAACAGATTATTATTTATTATATATTATTATTATTATTATTCACACAGTTATGGCATGTACAAGACACAAACATTTTAACTAAAAGATTCTTGCCAGGAGAGTTCACAGGACAACGGTTTCCTAAGTGACGTATCTATTCCTAGTCGAATTATAATGTCTATGATTTTATACTGTACCTGGAACTTCACACACATTTTACATACTTATAACTAAAACTACACACACAAATATCACAAACAATTTTATTTTACAGATACCGAATACACAGGGAGAATGGCTATCAGTGGCCCGGAGTTTCCTGCAGAAATGGAATGTACCTAATTGCGTAGGTGCCCTCGATGGGAAACATATACGTATACTATGTCCAAATAATAGCGGTTCCGAGTTTTTTTTAACTATAAGTCATATTTCAGTATTGTTTTGCTAGCTTTAATCGATGCCAATTATAACTTTTTATATGTGGACATTGGATGTCAGGGCAGAATATCTGATGGTGGAGTTCTACGAAATTCAACTTTATTTGATATTGATACGAGATGGTACTTTAAGTCTGCCACAAGCGATTCCATTACAAGGGAGAAATACACCTGTACCTTTTTATTTCATCTGTGACGATGCTTTCCCCATCTCACAGAATATAATAAAACCATTTTCTGGATATCAAACGGATCACCTGAGAGGGTTTTTAATTACATAATTAGTCGCGGGCGCATGGTTGTAGAAGACGCGTTTGGCATTTTATCTAATAAATTCAGAATTTTGCATTCACGCATTGGTTTACAAAATGAGAAAGCAAAAATTGTCGTGATGGCTTGTGTGCATCTGCATAATTTTATGAAGAGAAATGAAAGAACTACTGATGGAGTTTTGAACGAAGAGCAACAAAATATTGCGCAGATCGCTCTAAATGTAGAACCAAGTGTAATTAGAAATAAGCTAAAATGTTATTTTCTATCGGAACAAGGTCAGCTTCCGTAGCAATATCAAATATAATGTTTGAAAGAAATAAAATGTGATTATTCAAATAATTGTTTTATTTAGGAATCTGAAACACTTATCAATAATTTTAAGCTTTTAATAAAATAAAATAATTTAACCGAAAATATAAACATTTATTTTAATCTATTACACTATTTTCGGTTAAATTATTTTCCAAGACTAGTAACAGACTGTCACTTGTGTTGACATCTGGGCTGTTTTGCATTTCATAGTCTGATTGAACAGAGTAAGAGCGCGAAGTTGAGGGCGACGGTGACATTGCTGACGTTGTAGGTTGGCCTGTGAAGTATTTTGGACGAACATTAACGAAGAGGCTGAGTAGTATTATTGGTCCTATCAAAATACATCGAACCCATTCTCATTTCTGCTTCATAGACAATAGTCTGGATTTGATGTTGTACTGTACACATCGTGTAACGATTTCCTCAACTTGCTACTTATATAGTCTGCAAATATAGCAGCATCATCGCGTTGCCTTGCATCAGATGTAATCTCCCTCAGTAATTGCAAAGCTTCATCAACTTCAGGATCTCTCTCTATATTTCGTTTTCGTGAAGTCCTTGTCGAAGGTAGCGTAGTCTGGGGAGTGATATTATCTTGAGAAGAACTGACTGAAAATAAAAAAGGAAATCTTATAATTAATTACAAACAAGCTTAACATCTACGGCGAATGCATGTCTTTTCGTAACTCGCACCGCGCATTATTGTTTTAGTTTTATCGATGTTAATAAACATTTATATTTCTTTATAAAAGTAGTGTTTAAATGATAGGTTTATCTTAACCTGCCCTAACACAGTACAGTAGGTAGTAGGTATCTAATATTAATACGCGAGGCAAAAACGTTGTACCCCTATTTACGAAAATATTACTTATTGAAATAATGTATTTTAAATTAATTATGGTCGATTTTCGACCAATGGGCGACCAACTAGTCTACTTAATTATAAGAATTTGATGGGTACGTACTTTAGATGTGTGGCTGTTCAGAGTCGGTACCGGCGCATTCTTGTTATTAAGAAATGATAACGCCTTATAAGCAAACCATTTCGGCAATTGAACATCTTCCCGTCCAGATCCACTCCTTTTAGATTCTTCATATTTGCGTTTTTCTCGAAAATAATGGCTGGATAAATTCTTCAGTTTTCTCTCAATTTCTGATGATGCTATGTTGAACACAAAAGCAATATCTCTAAAAGCATCATTTCTTTTGTTGCGATTTTTGAAATCCATATGCCTTGAGTTCCACAATAGTTCATTTTCTTGATATTTTTCTATTAGTAAAAGTACTGCACTATCATCCCAGTTAAATTCTGTCATTTCTTTGTTTAAGTATATGAAATTAGGTTATTCACGAATACTACAACACTACCACTCCGTATCGAAGCCGCAAGCAAATTGCCGCCGGCAACCAAAAGCCGCGCGTGCCGCAGGGGATGGCCGGCGGCTTGGCCGCCGGCCGTGCCGCCGGGCATGTGTGGATGCACCATCAGGCTGCTTTAAGAGCTTCCGAAACACCTTCTCAAAGTCACGAAAGGCGTCTTGAACAGGCAGAGCGTCAAGCTACTTTAAGAGCTTCTGAAACACCTTTTCAAAGTCAGCGAAGGCGTCTTGAAGAGGCAGAGCGTCAAGCTACTTTAAGAGCTACTGAAACACCTTCTCAACGTCAGCAAAGGCGTCTTGAACAGACAGAGCGTCAGGCTGCTTTAAGAGCTTCCGAAACACCTTCTCAAAGTCACGAAAGGCGTCTTGAACAGGCAGAGCGTCAAGCTACTTTAAGAGCTTCTGAAACACTTTCTCAAAGTCAGCGAAGGCGTCTTGAACAGGCAGAGCGTCAAGCTACTTTAAGAGCTACTGAAACACCTGCTCAAAGTCAGCAAAAGCTATTCGAACAAGCGGAACGTCAGGCCGCCTTAAGAGCCGCGGAAACACCTGATGAAACTCAACACAGACTCATTGAGCAAGCTGAACGTCAATCTACTATAAGGGCATCTGAAACACCAGAACAGACACAGGCGCGAAGAGATGCAAATGCACAGCTCCAAGCTGAACGTCGAGAAAATTTTCAAAGAAACAATTGGTCGGTTTTTAATGATGCAGCAGTCAATTATGATCCATTGATTGATTATAAAAGTCACAGGTTAGTTGTTATCGGACTGATGGACAAGGCGTGTCGATTTTGCAGCGCTTTAAAATGGAAAGATAAGACCGCAGGCAGTGCTGTTCCAATGGCAAAGTGTCGCTCCCGTTACTTGGGGAACCAGAAGAACCTTTGAAAACTCTCTTTTTATATGATGCTAATGAGTCACGGCGCTTTTAGAACAGCTCATGCTTTCAAATGACGTCCTTCGGAGTTGACCGGGAAATAATAATGCCGGGATTTTCGCCTACATTTACGGTGCAAGGGCAAATTTATTATAGAATAAGTTCACTTTTTCCAGCTGAAAACGAACAGCATAAATTTTTAGAAGTATATTTTATGGGTGACGAAGAAATTGAGGTAGATCGTCGCTGCCAATTTATCCAGGGAGTTGAGAGAGACAGCGCGCAGAAGTGTTCAAAATTCAAAGATTCTTGCATGAACGTAACATTTTAGTCAAAACATTTAAAACTGCTTTAGAAAACCTACCTGAAGAGGATTATAAAGTCGTCATTCACGCAGATCGGACCCCTCGAGGAGAGCATAAAAAAGCGCTACAATGCACCTTTGATAAACGAAATAGCAGCCGTAATTAGTGGTGATCAATTTTCTTCACGAGACATTGTCCTGCGAGCACGTGATGATTGCGTGACGTGACGTTGCAACGGGTAGCCGATACACACAAGTTTTATGACCCTCTGCAATACCTATTGATTTATTGCAAGGGACAAGAGGCTTATCATTTTCAAATTCCACTCATTAACCCGGTCACAAAGGAGCCTACTCCGAACAAAAAAGTATCATGTATGGATTTTTATGCGTATCATATGATGTTGCGAGAAAATGATTTTAACCTCTTAGCCTGGTGTAGACAATTATTTCATCAATTTTTGGTAGACATCTATGTGAAGGTAGAAAGTGAACGTCTCAGTTATATATCTTTAAATCAAAAAAAGCTGCGCGTTGAGAATTATATACATTTACAAGATGCAGTTTCTAGCGACGCCAATGTAAACCCCAGATATTTAGGAAAACGGTAATTCTGCCCTCGTCATTCGTTATGTTAGACAGCCCCGCTACCTACATGAGTACACACAAGACGCATTCGGCTACGTACAAATTTACGGAAGACCTGATCTTTTTGTTACTTTTACTTGCAATCCCACATGGAAAGAAATAGCCGAGGAGCTAATGCCGGGTCTAAAAAGTACTGACAGACACGATTTAGTTGCTAGAGTATTTAGATTAAAAGTACAAAAATTAATGTATGTCATTAACAAAGAGAAAATTTTCGGAGAGGTGCAGTGCTTAATGTGTTCAATTGAATGGCAAAAAAGAGGATTACCGCATGCCAACATTCTAATATGGCATAAAGAGAAGTTGCGGCCCAGCCAAATAGACGACATAATAAGCGTCGAGATTCCGAATCCTGAGCAAGATAAAGAATTGTATGATACCATAGTCCGAAATATGAAACACGGTACATGTGGAGCACGAAATTCAATATTGCCGTATGAAAGAAGGAAAATGTACAAAGAAATTCCCTAAACAGCTATTAAAAGAAACAGTGCACAATGACAATGGCTACCCTTTATACAGACGCAGAGCTCCCGAAGATGGTGGCAGGAAAGTTACAATCAAATCTCGCTCTGGAGCGTTCGAAACCTTAGATAACAGCTGGATTGTCCCGTATTCGCCCATTCTATGTAAAATGTTTAATGCCCACATTAATATAGAAGTATGTAGCTCTGTCCGCGCAATCAAGTATATCTGTAAGTACATAAAAAAGGAAGCGACCAAGCAATATTTAATCTCAGGAGTGAAGGTGAGGCAAATCCCGTTAATGAAGTACAGATATTTCAAGCAGGGCGTTATGTCAGCAGTAACGAGGCAGCGTGGTGTCTCCTTGGATTCCCTTTACACGAAAGGCACCCAACAGTTACTCACCTTGCTGTGCACTTAGAAAATGGAGAGCGTGTATATTTCACCGAAAGAAATTTCCAAGAAAGAAATGCATCACCGCCAAAAACTACACTAACAGCCTTTTTTGAACTTTGTCAAACCATCCTTTGCAAAAACGTTGTTATATTCTGAAGTCCCCCGCTATTATACTTGGAACACATCTAGGAAGGAGTGGAAACGCCGTATTCAAGGCGCGCCTGTCGCAAATTGGCCCGGTGTAAAGTCATCAGATGCCCTTGGTCGTGTGTATACCGTCCATGTAACTAATTTTGAATGTTTCTATTTACGATTGCTGCTGCACCATGTTCGGTGTCCTACAGGTTATAAAAACCTTAAAACTGTCAACGGTCAGGAATGCGCAACTTATAGAGAAGCATGTGAAGCTCTGCATCTTTTAGAAAACGATAATCACTGGGATGAAACCATGGAGGAAGCTGTGCAGTGCAAGTCACCAGCCAAAATTAGGGATCTTTATGCAACTCTCATATCATCTTGCGGGCTATCTAATACACATGAATTGTGGGACAAATATAAAGAGTACATGGCGGAAGATATGTTGCGAAGGTTACAGCAGACACACGCGAACATGACATACAATGAACACATTTATAATGAAGCACTTGGAAAAATTGAAGATAAAGTAATGGCAATGGTAGGCAAAAATTAAGCGACTTTGGAATGATAAGCCCTCAGCGAACAACCGAAAATGAACTAAGTGATGAAATTATACGTGAAACAAACTACGATATACCAGCTTTGCAGCAGCAAGTAGCCGAATTTGTACCGCGCTTGCTTCCCGAACAAAAACGAGTTTTTGACAAAGTATTAGGACAAATTGAATCTGGAAATGGTGCACTTTTCTTTTTAGATGCCCCTGGTGGAACTGGGAAGACATTTTTGTTAAATTTATTATTAGCGCAAGTACGGAAAGATAAAAACATTGCTGTGGCCGTAGCTTCCTCCGGTACAGCCGCCACGCTGCTAAGCGGGGGCCGCACTGCACATTCTGTTTTAAAACTCTATCTAAATCTAGCCCAGGAAGAATCGCTAATCTGCAACTTTAGCAAAACTAGTGCACGAGGTATAATGCTACGACAATGCAAACTTTTAGTGTGGGACGAAATTACAATGTCGCATAAAAAAAGCTTTAGAAGCACTAAATCGAACGCTCCAGGATTTGCGCAGCAATACCGATGTAATGGGAGGAATGGTGGTTTTACTGGCTGGTGACTTTCGCCAAACTTTACCTGTCATTCAACAGGGCACACCTGCAGATGAAATTAAAGCATGCCTCAAGTCGTCTATTTTATGGAACAAGGTGACAAAATTCAGTTTAACTACGAATATGAGAGTGCATTTGTATAATAATATCAATGCTGGAAACTATGCTGAAACACTATTAAAAATTGGCGATGGGCGGTTGGAAACGGATGCTGAGGGCTGCGTTAAATTGATGAGAGATTTTTGTAATTTAGTACAGAGTCATTCCGAATTAATTGCGAGCGTTTATTCAGATTTAACGAACAACATGCATGAAGACAAATGGTTATGTGAAAGGGCGATTCTTGCACCAAAAAATGAGAGCGTTAACAAAATAAATTCACATATATTAGACGAAGTAGCAGGAGAAATAACAGAGTATTTGTCAGTAGACACATTTATGGACACAGAACAGAGCGCTACCTATCCCGTAGATTTCTAAATTCTCTAGAGTTGTCAGGTGTGCCCTCACATAAGCTTCAATTAAAATTAGGCGTCCCAGTCATGCTAATGCGATATTTAGATGCTTCTCAGTTATGTAACGGGACAAGGCTGCTTGTGACACATCTTGGACGGAACATAATCGGTGCTACAATTTTGCCAGGCGTAGGAAAAGGTGAAAATGTTATTATACCACGGATCCCTATAATTCCCACAGATCTTCCTTTTCAATTCAAAAGGTTACAGTTCCCCATTAAGCTCAGTTTTGCAATGACAATTAATAAAGCGCAAGGGAAAACGTTCCAGGTAGCGGGGGGTCAACTTAGAAAAACCGTGCTTCTCTCATGGTCAGCTGTATGTAGCATGTTCGCGTGTGTCAAATGCCCAGTATCTCCACATTCTTTGCCCGAATGGAAAAAAATATAACATTGTGTACAGTAGCGTTTTAAAATAGTGTTCAGTTAGTTTTTTTTCCAAAATTTCCACAATCAATTAATCAGAATTCCAACAGATCTTC